AAAGAAGGAAGGAAAGAAGGAAGGAAAGAAGGAAGGAAAGAAGGAAGGAAAGAAGGAAGGAAAGAAGGAAGGAAGACTACAATTACTGCAAAAGGATTAAAAATATATGCCAACTCATTACCAGTCTTTTTCAGGTTTATTTCCAGATTGCAGTTCAAAGATCACATTGTAAAAAGGTAGATCCTTGCATTTATATTTGACTGGGAATTTGGTATGATGTGGAACACCGCTGCTGTCACTGGCTTCAAAAAAGACCATTAATGTTATGAAACCTCTCTGCAAGAGCATGTTGTGTGTTTGTTAAAAATACAGTAGTTTTTCTTGTTTCTTCAAGAGGGGAATTAGCCCTACAGTTTTTGTTCCTTCAAAGATAGGTTAACAGTTTCATATGGACCATCCAGTCAGACAGGATGAACAGTACATGGTTTAAAAAAAAAAAAAAAAAACAAAAAAAACATTTATACTCTACAAAAACCTTTACGAAAGCTTATGACAGAGATAGAGAATACACCTTCAGTTCTCAATATCTTGTGAAAAAGTAAATTAATTTGAAATTAACTCAAAACGTACATTACAGAAATTCTGCACTGCCCTTCCTCATTTGTTGCTTAGAAAGATATTCCTGCAATTACTATCCAGAATCCTCTACTATGAGGACTCCTTATTTTTTTGGGTAAATCATTTTTGACAAGAAACATCCATTGCCTTCATCCTCTTGTTAACCAGCAAGAGTCCTCAATGCCCAGGAAGATAAAAGTGGCATCTGAATGTGGCATAGGCTTCATACTGGCCACTCTCATGCAAAATCAGTAACAAGTTTTGTATACCGTATTAAAGCAGCAGATCAGGGCCATTCTAGATTTGGGGAGATTTCCGTGAAAAATAAAGTGGTAAAGATCAAAATCCATAAAAACATCTATATCTCAGTTAACACAGAGATGTTATACTGCTGTGAGGACAGATATGGAACACCATCAAAATTCCAATCTTTTAGGTCTTCCCTTACAAAATGCAGTTCTGTGCACAAGCTGACAGACCTGTTTTGCTTTTTTTCTGAAGTTTATCAGTATAACCTGTGCATTCATACCCAACATCTTCCTAAGTACAAAACTCTAAAAATAAATAAAGTTGCTACAATAGCATTAAAACAGGAAAAACAAACAAACAAACAACAACAAACCAACATGATGTAGGATACCAAATTCTGTAGGCATGCATTTTGAATCCATTTAGTTGCTCTTTACAGAATACATTTATATCATGTTGTGCATTTTGAGAAATGCAATTTTTCAATTAACTTTGAGAAGGGCTGGTTTTCACTGTATTTCCAAAGAAAACAAACATTTTAAGTATAAATCAGAAGACAACCATGATACCTTGCCTTAGCAAGGAGTCTGCTTCCAATGAAATTAAATCTTCACTTTCCATTAAGGTTTTTTCATGTTCTTCTTCTTCCCAGTGAATTGGAATACATACATTTTAATTTGATTATACCAAAACTTGCTCATATTAAAGTTGTACTGTGAAATGACTTCACCATAGTTAGACTCCACTGAGTGTGATGAGCCAAGAACTTGTCACATTCTGAATATAACATACATGGAATATGCTATCTATATATAATCACTAGGAGGATAATCTCTGAGCAGATTTTCTCTGGTAAATCTTGTTGCTACCAGGGCTGCTCGACTTGGTAAAAGGACAATATACACAGCAGGTAGGGTGGTCACACACAAAAGCTCCTCACTCTCACCAAAAGAAAGATACAAGCATTTAATCAAAATTTCTTACCCTGATTTTATTTCTGCAGGTGGAGAAATTTCAGTAGCGTTAAAATCAGGGAGCATTTGGATATCCACAATGAAGAATTGCACTGTTGGATTTTTAGCTCCTGCCTGAAATAAAATGTTTCATTGTAATTTCAAAGCAAGAATATTCCTGGGGAAAAAAAATAGAGACTGAAATTATAGATGAAGAAATCACTACAGACAGGTATAACCAGCTACCTTCAGACACATGAGAAGACAAGTTCCTAAATGCAATCCTTAGGATTGATACATAAATTACCTTTAGAAAGCATTAGCTATGTATTTCTAGATCCGAAAGGCTACATGTATAACCATCCATAGGCTTTCCTCTACCCGCAGCAGTATTTGACTGCATCTTGCCTCAGATGCTACACAGTATCTAGGAGTGAATCAAATACTGGGAGAAAAGTATAAATATTCTAAATACTCTAACAGGGAGAAAAGTGATTCTTCATGGAAACGAACACCTTGCCTTAAATGATTGTATAACAGCTGCCTATAATGTAATCAAAGCTGTGGCTGCCACATGGACTCCGTTGTTTTTAAACGTAGCACTGATACGTACTAACAGCAAAATTACTTTGTCACAAAGGACTTCTCTAGATCTAGAAATTGAAGCTAGCCAGCTAAATCCTCATGGTAACAGTTAAGCAGCTGTAGCTCACCCATCTGCAGAAATAAGCAATACTCCAAACAGGAAGGGTCTGTAATAAAAGGTGCTATTTAAATTGGCAGTTCGCTCCATGCCTGCTACACCTATGCCTCTTCACAGGTGGCACGCTCAGGGCACAGTCCCTGAGCTTACTGCAGTGAACCCAGCTGCTTACTGTGACCACCAGTGAGAACCTGTACTGGAGCCTCCAAGCAGATAGGCAAAAGCAATGTGATCATGGAAATCAGGGAAGGGTAGGGGGGTGACCTAGCACAGCTGCTGCAAAGAAAGCTGAATTCAGCACAAAGGGGACTGGAGGTTGGCTTTTACTCCAGGTAAGCAGTTTTGTCAGTTGCAATCAGCTGGCTCTACCAGCTGTTCTGCCCCAGCTAATCAAGAATACAAGAATTTTCCTGAGTTGGCCAGACTGGCATAGAGGGAGATACATATATATGTCTGTCCAAGACAGAATGTAAAAACCAAAATAGTGAACAAAAAGATGGGCTTAAGCTGGTTTCAGACTACATATTACTTCAAGGCAAACGGGATGACCAACATTCCAGCAGTGAACCAGTAATAAGAATCCTATTTATATTGTGATTCAGAGGTACAGTGCAATTGTTGTACTCAAAGTGTAATTTGTACTTAAATTTGTCTTACATCTATTGCTGTATCACTCTACTAAATCAAAATCACTGGTAGATTCAAATAACTTCAATAGTTAAATCTAGAGAACACATGGAATAAACTTTTAATCCTCCCTATGTGGTATGTTTGAAAGGACCTGTTGGCAGCATGCTGTACTTCGACATTCACACCATTTATCCCAGTGCTAACAGTGCTGTGAGCAGTGGGCACTCAGTCATGTGGAGGGAAGAAGGATCTGCATGCACTGAAGTTCTCACTTACAGCAAAAACTGAAAGAGCTTCAGGGTGGACAAAGAAATTTTGTCAGTGTTTTCTTCCTCTTCCCAACATAGGAAGCATCCAACAACTAAGAATTACTCGACTGTTTGAAGAAGATTCCGTTTACACAAACACAGTACAGTGCACAAGCCTAACACAATGTGCGTATTGGAAATGCAGTTACTAAAAGGCTCTTTTTATCTCAACGTCTACTTGTCACCTCTCAAAACTTCTGTGATAAAAAAGAAAAACTTTTTTTTTCTTTCCTTTCCCCTAGAGATAATAAATACTTTAACATTGCCAGATGCTGTTGATTTCAGAAAGGGTAATCACAGCAAGCTGTTGAGGAGAGACAGACAATATTTTCATTAGCAGAAACTGATTAAATGAAACTACTCCCTTAATGAAACTGCAGAATAAACATGTTAAATAAATAACACAGACCTTGGGATAAGGGATTCTAATGGTCTTAGGATACTGCAAGGTGTCTTCAGAATAAAAGGAATACTCGACAACAGGAACTTCTGTATCATTAAATGCTGCATATGCCACAAAATTGCCATTTGGAGACCACCACAGAGCAGAATGGCTGCTAAACATTTCCTCTGAAAGAGATGCAAAAGCATTTAATTTGTAATTGATAAATTGGCTCTTATATCTGAAGTAATATTCTTATTAAATTTTTAATAATTTTTTTTTTTAAATTGAAGTTAATATACCAAAGCAGAGAGTGCTTACTGGAGTTCTGAAATAAGAGAAAGACTGGTGCTCATGATCTATTACATGAAGCTAAAACTAATTTCTGTTCCTAGATACCTGCGCTGACCAGGCATAAAGCCCAGACAATGATAAATGCTTCTGCTAAAAATGCAGATTTGCATTAATTTTGAATTTTTCAGTGTAACAGATAAAGCAATTTTAATAAAATCAATATTAAAAAAAAAACAACAAATTTTTACATTGAAATGCAAAGAAAAATGTGCTTGATGTACTTACCTTCATAAACCCAATCTGGTATTCCATTGAAAATTTTATTTTCTTCTCCATTGCTAGTGATTTGCACAGGTGCTGCTGTTGGTGAAGCTTTTATATAAATATTATTATTCCAAACATATGCCTGCAAAATATTATTATGATGACTACTGGAGTAAATCCTATTTCCTCTCTATGCCATATTTAGTGACCTATTTACACATACTACTGATGACAAAAATTGTCCTTTAAATTTGCATTTGTCCAAACTTCATTGATACTTATACATGAATTACTAATACAAATCAAGAGTAACAAACTGAACTTAAGCTGAGATGCCAAAAAATAAAAAATAAAAATCCAACCCTCAGAACAGTTGTTTTAAATGACATTATTATTGCATCAAGAAAAGCTTGCCATTAATTTTCCTTTGAAATACAAGTTTATTTTTGGAGTTGGTTTTTTTTTTTTTACTCATTTGTCCCTCAAGGAAAATCGAGAATATTTTGGTAAAACCTTGATAAATGTCGTGATGTTGCTAACAGATCTCCAAAGATAATGTATCTCTGAGTAAAATGTCTTTGTTTTTTTTCCCCTTAGCGACTGAATATCACATTCTTATTCCAGAGCTTCTCTCTGAGATGCAGCAATTTCTTTTCAACATCCTTTGCATCTATTGCTGGGCTCCATAATCCATGACAAGGAATAAGAATACTTAAACACCATATACTACTGTGATTGCTCTTTAAGTCAGATCCAAAACAGCCTTGCAAACACAGTAGCTATCAAAGCTGTCATGGATTAGGGAGGAGAAAAGGAAAATAAGGACAATATGAAAGAGCACACAAGATGATTTTGTTCCTCTAATCCCTGTTAAAGTCATCCTTAAATAAAACTTCATTGTTCTTATTAAGAGATGAAAACCACAGTGGTGAATGTCTAGACAGCTGCAATGATATTGCAAAGATATGTTGATTTGAAAGAGATGAGCTACTGTTTGCTACTGTAAAAATACTAAGTTCCTGTGCAAAATACTGGGACCATACTGCTTTCAGGAATGTCTTTTCAGCAAAGAACAGAACATGACATAGAGGAAAGTTTGAGTATTTCCAACAGCCATTTTGAAAACTATGTTCAGGTATTTTACCTGGAAGTAGGAAAGCCCCCAAGCCCCTAGGACATAGTTTATGTGAGCTACTCTGTCATGGCTACAGAAGAGGCTGTATAAGTTTAGATTATCTTTACTAACCAGTTTGTGACCAACGGGTGACCAGGATATATATTGTGTGTCATTAGGTAGCAGTGCATCATCTAAGATGGCTCTGGAAATAAAGAAACAAGATACAAATAAAACAAATCAGTAAAATGCCACTTCATTGCAAAATACTATTAAAATTACATCTTGTGCAAAATTTACTAACCTTGCATTGAAATCATAGATGTGATATGAAGCTGTGTAGGAATGCCTCCACAACTGCAAGAGAATTAGTTCAATATTAAGAAAACAAAAATCTCTTACAGCTTCAGTTACCACTGAAACTTCTGAAATCCTCCTCATACTTTCGCTTGAGATAGATGTAACACTATGAACCTGTAAGGGCAGTAATTCTCTGTATGGTTTAAAGGAAAACTGAAGAAACACTGTCCTTCTGTAGTCATCACTTAGTTACTATGACAGAAGCCGATCGCTGATCAAGGACAGAGATACAGAGGCCAGAAATTCTGCAGATTTTCAGAAATTCTTGAAACTTTATGGCAAGACTATCACAGCTATGTACAGTTAATCCTCCTCCTTCTGCCTTCCTGGCACAACTGTTTTCTGCCTCCTTTTCCATGGTGTATTGTTTAACTTGGCATTCTATTTTTCAGTAGTGCTCTCAAGTTCCAGCACTGTTTCTGTAGCAGTTCCTCTAGTTCCAGGACTCATGTTCTCATCCATATTGTCACAGAAATAAAACTTATTTCTCAGAAACCTTCCTCTTGAAACCTATGCCACTGTAGGCACTTATTGAGATAAATATGTCATTTAGATGAGGAGCTGAAGAAGTTTGTTTTAATTCATGGTGTTGATATGCTACAACAGTGTTACCTTCTATGGTAGTTCTTGAAGATTTGTATGAAAATATGAGGATATAAAACAATATCTTAGTACTACACAACCAGATGGTCGTTATATAAGAAGCGTGCACATCTTTGTGATTCATTTTGTTACTCTGTTTTTTTTTGTGATTAAGATTAATAACAACGTAACTTTCAATCATAGTACTATATAAAGGTTAAAAGACTGTTTCAGTATTAAAGTTAAATTTTATGACTACAGCAAATAAAATAGCATAGAATAATAAATCACAAGTGGAGGGGATGTCTAGGGTAGCTGGAAAAGTATAAGACTTTTAATCACCACTAATAATGCAGGAAAAATAATCAATTCTGAACAATTTAGAAAGACAGAAAGTAAATGGCCTAGCTGCACTCAGCAAAGAAGCTGAAACTGTAGAAAAGTGGTGACTGACTTGTGGTGACTGGACTGCAGCTGGAACACTGTGACAGGTGTTCTTGGATTGCTTTGCCAGAACATGTAGAGGGAGCTCAGTAACACAGCCTTTAAGTATTTGTACACAGAGCCTTTTACAAACAAAACATGCAGATCTCTCCGGTAATAAAAACAAAAAGGAATAAAAAAAACAATGAAATTACTAGCTCCTCAGTGCACACTCTGCAGGACAAGTTATCACCTCTATTAGGTTTCTGTTCTCTCCTCTGGAGGCACACAGGTCCAGGGATTCTTGCCAACTGACATACATGTGAGTTGACCTTTGTTACTTTATTCAGCACCAAGCCAAGATGATACACTTACGCTGGGGGCTTTCCAAATACTGAGAGCAGCAAACTAGGACACCTGAGCCCACACCATGTGCAAGAGGATAGCCTATAACCACACAGGACTTTTCTTTCACCTCAGTTTTCAAATCCTGTGTCCTAAAACCTCAGGCCTGCTGCTACAATGCTGTCAGTGTAACATGCTCATACATACATACATACATACATACCATATATATACAAGCATATGCATACATCTGTTCTCACTCACACAACCCCTTGGATGTCACACCCATCTACTCTTCTAGTTCATCTTTCCGGTTAACCCTCCAGCTTCACTCCCCTTGTAGTATCTTTCCAATCACTAAGTTTTAATTTAGCTTCTTCATTCAGTCACAGAATTATAGAACACCCTTCTATAATATAAATACCCTTCTCTTGTAGTTTCCAAGCCTGATGCCTTTACTCAACTCCACTCAACACGGTAATCTTTCCTCCTCCTCCTCCTCCTGTCTGTTAAGACTTCAGTGTTACTATACAGATATCCATCTTATTCTTCTAAATAATTCTCTCAAAATCTTTCAGCCTCTGCAATCTCTACTTGCAACTCTCAGCATCTTCTTGCTCAATTATTTCCAAACCTTTACTTCCCAGTTTCATTCTCAAAAAATTAAGTGCATTTGTACCTTTTCATACTTGTACTGCAGAAGAGCAAACCTCTGGTCAGGGGACAATATAGCTGTTGTTGCCTCATATGTGCTCTGTCAATAAGAGGCAAAGAGAACATGTTAAGCACTAATTTCAGAGAAATGTTCAGGAAGAAAAGGTATTAAATATAAAATCTTCCTCTAAGATTGCACATATTATATATAAGTCAACGTACTAATGTTGTATTTAACAAGACTACTGAGGATGTTCCAGTTTCAGCATCGAAACGTAGAATGTTCCCATTAGGTGTTTCATGGAGATATTGATTTCCTAAAAGAGCAAAAGAGATGCCAATAAACAATAAGTAAAATGCACATCACTCACTTCTTTCTCCCCTATTTCTTGAAGCAGGAAATAAAATTAAAATTCTGGTCAATATTCTGTTTCCAGCTTTTGTAATTAAAGGATGCTTATAGCACTGTTAACAAAATTGGGCTCACATCTTCAACTTTCTGGGACCTTTTTCTCTTGGGGTACTTTTAGCAATAGGAGAACATATTTTGCCACTAACACATATCTACAGAAAAGAATTCACAGCTTTTTGTGCCCTGCACCATTTTGTAATAAAACTATTCAAGCATCTAATGTATTTTTAGGATATGTTAGTCATCTCTGAGTATTGTGTATTTACAGTAGGATATTTTTTTAATACACATGCTAAGTGTAAAAATAAATTACCTGAAATCCATTGCAAATTATGTGTTTTGTACACATAGTCATCGTTCAAGTAATTCTCTAGGGTATATGTTCTTCTTGAATCAGACTCAGGGGTACTTTCTGGAAGAAAGAGAAAGAAGAGAGATTTTGATGCTGATACAACATTTTCCACCACATCTTAATAGTCAGGCTAAGAAGCTAAGTGTCTTTTGCTACTGGCAACTAATGTGCTTTAGCTAACCAGCTATGAACTGCCAGCAGGGAGAAAGCACAAAAAAATCCAACAGTCAGAAAGGAAAAGGATCACAGTGCTACCCGGCTTTCCACTAAGTTATCAAAGTATCACAATGTCTGCTATGACATTAGTGTTTTGACTGCAAAATTAAAACCAAGTACCTGATCTACTATGAAAGGACTAAGTGAAACTGAACCCAGCTAAACTTAGGAGATTTGTCATCAACAACTGTGTGACACAGCCAACATCTATGAAAATATTTCTGTTTTACAGTGCCCTAGCAACTTTTTCCAAGATATAAAAGGTTTCAAAAGTACATTGTACATTTATACACACATAAACATATATATTGAAATTAAGACGTGCAATTCTCTCCCTGATTTCCTTCTGCCTTTTTAAAATAAACAAGGCAACACCAAAAACCACCCTCATATAACCAACACATTCAAGAAGGAAAGCAGTTTTTATTTCAACTTGTATTACCTTTTTTCTTTTTTCTTTTTTTCCCCTTTTTTCCCCCCCAGTTATTAGCAGAACAAATCAAAAAATCCAGGATATAAACAATTGATAAAAACAATGCAACACAGGTGTTTAGACTGATCAGTTGGGATGATAACCCGCCACCATCAATTCTGAGTTTTCCAGTCTGTTCAGATACTTTTAAACAGACAGCCTCTTTTAATATGCAGAAGAAGAAAAAGAGTACAAGGGAGTGAGAACAAAAAAAGCCCACCTCACAAGATTGCTGTGGGGAATCTTTCTGCAAGTTGAAAAAGTGTGACATATGGAACATGACAGGAAGACATTTATATTAGCTACTATGGTTTTACTCTTATTTCCAAACAATAAGTACGTTACTTATATACAGCACAGCCTGGAGAGCCATTGCTGTAGTGAAAGTCAAGAGCCTTAACAGCCAAAGCTTTTAGTCTAACAAAGATTAAGACAATTACTTGCTCATTTCCATCTGAGATTTGGCTATTCTGAAATGTGTCACAAGTCTAGATATTTTGCTTGTTATGTTTCCACGAGAATATTAACTTCTCAGGTTAATTATTCTATATTAACTGAATATTTAATTTGATGGATTATGAACAAGTGTGTATTTGATATTCATGCACAGTTGTCTAGTTGGGAATATCACTTCTCTTCTTCCTAATTGAGTAAGTGTCACTTTCAATTAGAGGGACTTCAGAAAGCAATGAAATTCTCTCTTGAAAAAGGAGGAGCAATTTAAGACAGGTGGCTGTTGAACAGGTTTAGGGATTTTTCCAAACTGCTGAATGTTTTTCCTCCCTGGTGACATCCATATTTTGCTAAGGTCTCATTACTAAAAATCAGGCCACCATTAAGATTTTTTGGCTGTGTGTAAAATTAAAATTTCATTTTCTGTCAACACCTTCCACATAGTAACTGAATATGAAACGCCAAGCTGTACGGGTATAGTCATCAAAGTTTTAGTTGGAATATTTTCTTAGTTTGTGAGATAGAGCACTACGGCTATGTTTTTACTGCATGTATCTTATTCTGCATTTTGCTTCTTTTGATTTAGACTCCATTTAAAACAAAAAACGAACAACAACAATAACAACAAAACACGTTGTACCCCCCCCAAAAAAGCGTCAACTGGGCTTTTTACAAAATGAATTACTTGTTGACATTCAAAAACATATATATATATTCTTCTTTCTCTCTTCCTCAAAGAGATTGTGAAACCTGAATTTTCTCTCATCTCTATTTTTTCTTCTATTTTTCTTTCTTTCCAGACAGGGACTGTTTTTCCGAATTCCAAATGACTTGCTCTTTCTATCTACCCTTAAAACTCCCCCTGAGCAGTACATGTATATTTACCCACTGTCATAGTGATATATTAGAAATATGTACATCTTAATACCTGTTACAATAACAAAAATTTAGAGTAAGACATTCTAGAGAGAAGGCTATTAACCATTTATGTAAGGAATGTTCATACAAAGTTGATAAATAGTATTCTTTCAATTTTGGTGTTTTTCTTAGGTTTTTTTTTGTTTGTTTGTTTGTTTTTTGTTTTGTAAACATGTATCTTCTCAAAGTTTGTTTCTGTAGGTGTAAGGAGTAAAGGAAATAAAAATTCAACTGCTGTGTGAAGTTTGTGCCATGACAAATCATCATATCCAAAATTAAAACTGTTAAAATTACTTTTGGTGAAGGCATTGTTCAAATTTCTATATGCAATGCAAAAGAGCAGGAAAGGATGTAATCAGCCCAAAAGCAAAGGAAACCTGTAAAGCTCTTAATAACGGAAACTTTAGTACACCTTCAGAAGAGAAGCCTGATCCAAGAGAATACCAGCAGGTAAAAACAGTGACATCAGCCAGGGCAGTTCACCCAGCTGTCACCAAGGCTGCGGAGACTTCCCCAGAGAGAGGCAATCATTAACTTTGTAGTTAATAGCTCTGGTAGCTCTCTCCAAGTTGCCACATCTCGTGCAAACTAAGGAAATAGAAGTGTTCTAGACATAGCAACCAACTGTTGGTAAATTTGTTTCTATGCATTACTCAACATTTGAATTAAGGTAGATAATTCAGTTAAATGATAGCTAGAGAAAGCCAAAGACACATAGCAGGAAAACATTTCTATTCTTTGTCTTCACTAAGTAGAATAGCCACATACATCACTGAGAATATGGATTCTGCAATGCAGTGCAAGATGCATGAAAAAAAATGGAGAGACAAACAGTTACAGCAGTCGTATTCAAATGAAAAGAGCGTTTTCTCAGACAAGTACACATTATATTTTCAATGGCCTGATTAATCTACTGTATCTCCCTTGCAACTTTTTAGAGAATTTCATCCATGACTTTGAGTAAAGAAATGTAAAGTGAAATTTGTAGAATTAACTACCGTTCACAGGTTATACATTGTCCTTCTAAGTACATACAAAATAAGATTCTCATCTAAACCTTAATTTTTTAACCCAGACTCAAAGAGATTCTACTTCAAAGATACAATTCTAATCCATAGATTAAAATTCATTTAGGTATTTTCTTGCTTCCTCACTAAACATCCTTAAGCCGAAGGCCTTCCAAAAATTGTGGTAATAAAATATTTCCTATTCCCAAGAAAACTGGGACAGATTACAGCTGCCAGATTCATTCATCTTGTGGCATAGGTCTTCAAATATGAGAGCTGCATATCAGCCAGACACCTTCATATTTTTAAGCATCCTTTTCAGTTGCAAGCAAGGTGTTGACATAGGCAATAGATACTCCTCCACACCATCCAGTTACAAGTCTGCTTAGCACAGGACAGATCACAGATAGGATAAACAGGGTAAGCGTTGATATGTAACCATTCCCAAAGGAACAATGAGAGCTATTTGGAGGCTTTCATTTCATCTTCTTTTCAGTTACACATTAACAAAACTGTCAGGAAGATATGCAACCTCATCTCTTTTGAGTCCTTGAACCAAGAAGCTGTCTCAGCAAACCCAATGACCTTCATTATGAAATCCAGGATGACAAAAAGTCATTGGACTTTTGCAGCCAATAACCCTTATCTCTATTTGTGTTAGCTTTTTCCCAGCCACTAGTAATACCTAACTCATCAGTCAGGTGTCAAACTCATCAAGTCCTCTCAGGCACCTCTGGGTTATTAACCTTCCCAGAACCTGCTGCGCTTTACCAACCAAAGGAGCGGGCACATTACTTTTAACAGAGCACAGGAGACAAGCACATTATCACCTAACAATTACATTTCACCTCATTTTGTCAATATTTTACCCTTGGGGAGTTAAAATCTCCAGTACAGGAACATGGTTTCAGACTAGACTGTTGTACAGCTCTCCACACTGTAGAGATTGTCTGTGGCTTTCTCCTTAGGGCAGCAATCTGCTAAATATAACACAGTCTCCTTTCTACTCAGCACTGACTACTCTTCCTTCTACTCCTGGCCTTCCAGAGCCATAATGACAATACTGTTAGAGAAGAGGAAATGCTGTACAGCCACTGGATGTTTTGAACTGCCTTTTGTATGGAAAATTATAAAAGGAAAAAATGGAAGAAGCAAAAGTAAACAGAAAAAATATTTGAGAGCGGTAAACCATGTTTTTAAATAAATACTCATGCCTTGCAAGGTAAACAGTTGTTACTATATTCACCTCTTAAAGAACTTCTCAAGGCATAACAATGTCTTCATCATCTGACTGCAAATTTGACTTCTGGGTCTCTTTTGGGATTAAACTCTTTGAGGTAAGGTTGTAAAAATACAGGGGCTACTTCAAAAGCACTTCCTATTTTATTATGTAGGTCCATAATGTCAGAAGGAGATGGTTGTGGTATGGCTGTAGAGGTTGAAACTTCTCATCAATATTCCATTACATTTTGTTGTTGTGTGACAGATAGCAGCAGAAGGGTAGTCTGACAAAATGGTGCCTGACATGGAAGTGTGCATGAAGTAAAGATGTTTACGGAGACCAAACAGTGGATGTCAGCACAGTGAGGTGGTGGGCGGTGCATTTCAGTAGTTCAAAGTGAAAGACAAGTCATGTTCCAAATGGCCATGGACAGCTGTCTCACTATGAAATGAAGAGCTCTTGTTCATTGTTGGCAAAAATGCATAACTAATGGTGGTAACTGTGATGAAAAAGTGTTTTGTAGCTGAGAATTTGCTCTATCAATGAGCGCTATGGTGCTCTTTGTATCTGTTGTGATTTCCATAGAAATAAATAAGAGGCATTACTTTTGAAAGGAACTATGAACACACTGCATGGAATTTTGTACTATCACTGTTCTGAGCTGAAGAGCTTAGGGATGCAAATTTATTATGAAGTGTTTAGCATTGCTAAACTGGGGCAAGAGAAGAAACAGAAATAACCTTTCCCTTCTGTGGCTTACCATCTAGCCAATGAGCCTGACTTCCTCTGTAGTGGCAAAATTTCAAGTTCTTTTATAGCACTTAAGCCCATTTATCTAGCTAAATTTTGCATTGCATGACTACTAAACTTATGAAGTACATAGAGGAATGGCAGGGAGAAGGCCAGTGGTAAGAAATTAAAACCCAGTATGTTTATGTATGTGAATAATAATTTTCACCTTCTGCAAAATGCTTGAACCATTGGGATGAAATAAAGATTTGGCAACAATTAAAATTGCTTTTATAAGAGCTGACTTTGATTTCACATTGTCAATTACGTGAGTTGCTGGACCTTCTACCAGTTTTACCTCCTTTCATTCTGAACTCGGTCAAGTCCCTGTACTGACCCAGAAGACATGCTCAGCTGACTTGCATGACCTTAGTTTGTGTGTAAGGGCAACGCAATCAAACTGCCAGTGACTAAGTGTTCTCACCTGTGAAGAGCTAATTATAAGTACACCACCAGTATACTCTAAGCTAACAGAAAACATTGCTTTAACACCGTTCAGTCAAAAATTCAAAGTTCTTGAACTTGCTTTAATTACAGTTTTGTTCAAATATTAAAACCAGCCTGATTTGGGAAGTCAGAACTTCAAATTTGCAGAACAGGACCTCTCCCTCTGTATTTACTTTATCCTTATTTTATTACCTAGGTGCTCTAGTCATCCATTAATTTAAGCCGTGTGTAAGAAGACATGCATTCACACTGCTCTTTTACAATAGACAAAGTAACACAAGCCAGGATGGGTGATATTTTGTAATTCACGCAGCAGAGGTGATTTTTCAATTTTGTTTTTTAATTTCTTTTACTATAAAACTGAATGACAACTCTAAATTGCTGCCTCTTCTCTTGCAAAAGGATTCAACCTACGAAAGAAGACAACCCATCTGATTTTCAGTAATATACAGCATAGCATTACGTGTAGAGAAGCAGTGAGGTAACTTAGAGTAGAACTATTCAGTCCCATGTACCGAATTCTTTGACTAGGCATTGCATTACAATGCACACATGCACCTGGGAAGCTAACAAGACTCTTTCTCTTGCAATTCCCAACTTCTTCAACTTGAAGTCACTTCAGAAATCTGGTGTGTTTTTTTTTTTTTGTTTTTTGTTTTTTGTTTTTTTTTTTTTTTTAAAAAAAAAGATAACTGGCAAAAAGCAGCCCCATCTACCAAAATGAAGCAGCAAAATCTAGCAAAATGAATTATTAGATATTGATGTAAGCTTTTGCTCAGGTAATAAGAAACTCAGATACCTAGACTTCAGATACCCAGACTATGAAAAACTGTTTTCTATTTTGTGATATTCTTAATTACAGAAATGAACTGTAAAATATTTTAATGTAAATTATACCATGTGAACAGTACAATGACGCAAATTTTGCCTCTTTAATAGACTTAAACACTAGAACTTTCTATGCACGTAAACAATTGCTATGTTTAGAAAAAGAAATCAACAACTCTATCTTCTTGCTTTTGGGCAACTATTTTACAAACATAAGGCCACCAAAGGTCTGCTCTACAAAATACTTTGTTTCCTTAGATCCTGACTGCACAGCTGTTAATCATAAAAACATAATGAGGGGGATTAACCTGCAGCTGTGCCCTACCAGCTAGAAGCAATGTGGTGCTGGATGAGGATTTAATGCTGTTTTAGATTAACAATTCAGAGCTGCAATATCAACCTGGAAGGTACAAACTGATCAGAGTCCAAAAACGCATTCCAGATCTTTTCCTACTTTTCTGACCTCTGTAACACAGTGTGTATAATCTCACTCAACAAACATTAATAAACTAGAAGTTGTGCAGACAAAGCAAATTAGAATACAATCTTATTTCTTCAATACACCCTAGAAGTACTGCAATTGGCTTTTTATTGCCGTTTTGCAGATTTTCGGGAAAAAAAGTGCTGAATTTGATGACACGACTAGTAGTTCCTAAATTTGCACAGAAATTAAGTAACTTTTTAATTTCTCCCCTCACAGCCCCCATTCTCCCAGATGAAGCAGCTCCTTGACGAAACACTTTCCAGTTTCAGAGGACTCGTGAGCACCGGCTCTAAAGTACGCTCAAGCACGAACTTTCAACAAAACTTTCCCCCCACAAAGAGTTGGGCTTCACGGCTGCAGACCCCTCAACACCGACCAAGCCCCGGTGGCTGCAGCGGTGCTACCCCCACGTTCCCGGCCCCGCCGGGGACTTACCGCCAGTGAGCAGAGCCAGCGGAACGGCTATCACTGTGATGACAACGGCGACCGCCACGAGTCCCAGCAACCACTTCAGCAGGGTCTGTAAAGAGAAGTCCCGTCAGGACAGCCGCCCATCACCCGATCTGGGCAGCCCAGACCCTTGCCTCTCCCTCACCCACCTTCATGCTGCAGCAGCTCGCAGAACGCGGCGTGCGGCTGCGAGCGGGGCGGGGCGGCTGCTCTGAGCGCTGGAAGGGCTCGCCAACGGCCCGTCTCGAGGCGCTGCCGCCTGCGGGCACGCGGCTGGGGCCGCGCGGGGCGCTTTGCTGCTGGGCCCGGGGACGGTTACCGCCTGCAGCAAGCGAGCGTCGGCAGAGCTCCGCGCGACAGTTGTGCAAGATCTCGTTGCTTCAGCCGGCGCTGCAGCTTCCCGTGCTTTTCTCTTTTCTTTTCTTTTTCTTTTCTTTTTCTTTTCTTTTTCTTTTCTTTTTCTTTTCTTTTTCTTTTCTTTTTCTTTT